TCCCTCTAGTGTCAACAAGTGGAAATATGTGTATCAGAAGAGGTTGGCATTGGAAAGAGAGTTGGCTCAGAATGCCCTTGAATGTAAGGAGATCATGAATCTTATTCATGCAGCTGGCTTAATAAGGACTGTCACTCAGTTTTCTAAGTGCTATGAAATACTTGTGAAGGAGTTCATAGTGAACCTATCAGAAGACCGTGCTGATAAAAAATCAAATGAGTTTGGAAAAGTATATGTAAGAGAAAAGTGTGTCACTTTCTCCTCAACTGTCATCAATAACTATCTAGGAAGATCAGATGAAGCTCAAACTGATCTAGCTGCTTCTGACAACAATGTTTGTCAAGTTATAACTGCCAACCAGGTCAAAAGTTGGCCCTCAAAAGGGAAACTGGTTGCCAGTAAACTAGGTGTGAAGTATGCTATGCTGCATAAGATTGGTGTTGTCAACTGGGTGCCCACAAACCACAAATCCACTGTGGCTACTGTCCTTGGAAAGTTCATCTATGTTGTTGGGACCAAAATAAAGTTTGATTATGGGACATACATCTTTGATCAAACAATGAAACATGCAGGCAGCTACAGTTTAAAAGGCCCCGTTGCATTTCCATCACTCATTTGTGGGATCGTATTGAATCAGTATCCTAATATCCTAAAAGACAATGAACCTGTGTGCAAGAAAGAAAGTCCCTTGTCTTTTCACCACAAGCTGTTTCAAGGAACGCATGTTCCTGACATTGTCATGACTTCTCCTGAGACATCCAAGAGGAGTTCTAAAACAGGGAAAGCTGAATTTATTGCTATGCTCAAGGAGACATGCAAGGAGCTGGAAACAAGAAAGCTGACTCTTGAAAAATTGATCAGCTCTCTTGAGAAGGATGAAGATACTGAGTTTGCTGAAAATGATGAGGACGAGCATGATGATGGTTCTGGGAAAAGTGATGATCAGGAAGCTGATTCAGAAGAAGCAACTGCCAATTCAGAGAATGGCACTGATAAAGAAAGTGATAGTGATGATGTTGGCTCTGAGTCTGATGACTAGAGTTCTTAGTTTGTTTGCTCCAAAACAAGTTATTATGTGAACAACTTTTATGTGTTGTTGTGTTGTAATATTTCTTTAACACCTGTGTTTCCAACTATATTTGATCAATGCTAATTCATTAGTTAGGATCTTAATTTTGTGGCTGAAAAAGGGGAGAAGTAGTAATAGAAACAGCAGGTTTAGTTGTTTGTGCTTCACAGGTGGAAGAAGATATGCTGCTGCTCTGAGTTGATTTGCAGGTGTGCAGTTGTTTGTGCTTCACAGGTGGAAGGTGATATGTTGCTGCTCTAAGTTGATTTGTAGGTGTGCTGATGTGCTGGAGTTGATCTCTTATATGTGTGAGCAGGATGATGATCCTATGTGTTTGATGTTTGATGTTGCTGGTGACTATGCGTGTGTGTTCCTGGTTGGAACTTAGTAGTATCCTAGATGTTGGTGTTGGTGCTTGTGATTGGATGTGTGTGTTTTTGCAGGTTGCTGGTATGTTGTGGTTGGCTGGTGTGCCATGATTTGTTATGCATCCCTTGAGGGGGAGAATCACAAGATGTTATACCAGATGTTGTGACATCTGTAGTCTGAACTAGCAGGTGGTATTTTTGCTGAGAAACAGGTGTTTTTCAGGATGTCAACCTGGATGTCTTGACATTCATAAGCCAGAACAGTTTGTATGATTGTGTGTCATTGGTAGTGTAGTTGACTCTGATTTGGTAGTACAACATGTGTGTTGAGTGGTAGTATTAACTAGTAGCTATCCTGCATGATTAGATGTGTATTGTGAACTTTTCTGCTGCATATGTTCTCTGATATGGTGACAGATTGTTTTAATCAAAAATTTGCCAAAGGGGGAGTTTGTAGATGTTCTTGATTGGCTGCATTTTATGGTAAAACATTGATGTGTGTAGATGTCTTGACTGATGTCATAACATTCGTGTATAGTGTACGCAGGGTAAGTTTGGTTAGCTAGAACAAAGTGTATTGGATGTCATGCTGGATGTTATGACATCAGGTAGCGACCAGCAAGGGTGCGTGTTTGTTTTTCTGGTATAATGCATGAGTTAGCTCAGGCTAGATTTCAGGAAATATTTTAGGGTTCGTAGTTATCTCAGGCGAAATGCTAGGCAGCGCTGAGCATAACATGAAATGCCTATGACCTAATTGAAACAACCCTGAATTATGGAAAAGGGTTTAACTTGGTTAAACCTAACTTCTGCCACTCAGGCCCAAGGTCCATGCGCTGCATATAAATAAAGAAGTGACAATCCTGATTATGGACGAACTTAGAGATTGTGAGTGAAGAATTTTGTTTGTGTAACTTGTTCTTCACGTGGGTTTTTGTGTCTTAGGATTTCTTGTGAGCCAAACAATTATCACCTAGATGATTGCATTAGACTAATGTGTTTTGAATTGTACTTTGATTGTGTCACTCTAAGCTTTTAAGCACGAGTGTCCTGTCTCTTGATTGAAGCTGTGAAGCAAGATCAAGATTTGGTTGAAGTGTGTCTTATTTTTAATCTGTAACTTAATTGGTTGATATCACTGCTGTGATTGAGGGGAGTGAGTAGGAACTCAGGTCTAGTGTTAGGCTAAAGTTGCATTAGGTAGGTCTTAAGTGAAGAGTGCAAACTGGTAGTTTGGCTCTGAATTAACACTACTTATAGTGGATTTCCTCCCTGACTTGGTAGCCCCCAGAGTAGGTGTGATTTGCACCGAACTGCGTCAACAATTCCCTGTGTTATTTACTACTTTCATTTTCTGTTTACTGTTAAGTTCTATAGTTTGTTTAGTAGTGGATGTCATAACATCCGTTATAACATCTACTGTCTGTTACTAAAATTTCAAGTATCTATCAAGAGTGTGTTTGCTTTTTTTACAAAAAGAGCAAATTTTGGAAGTGGATAAACCTCTACCTTGAAAGTTGGGCTTGCCACGACCTTTCTCTTGTTTCTGCTGAAATCTTCCATTGGTTTGTTGATTGTTGGTGTGACAAAGAGAATCTTTGAAGAGTCCGAAGTATGGGGATGTATAATTGTCTTTCTTGTTTTAAGATTGAAGAAAATACCTTTGTAACATCAGGAAGTGGATCGACCATGAGAATTTGGAATTTAACATTGTTGAAGTTATCATTCAAACTTTTTAAGAAACAGATGGCATACTTCATATACTATTGTTTTTTGATGGTGAGGTGTGCACCACAAGTGCAATTAAGGAGAATCCTGAGGGCCTCTAAATCTTCCCAAAGAATTTTCAACTCATTCAAATATGAATTTACTGATTTGTCACCTTGTCGCATGGAATGAATTTGTTGAAGCAAGTCAGATAGGAGAAAGTGGCCACTCTTGGAGAATCGATTGTAAAGGTTTGACAAGAGTTGAGCTGCATTGTCAACATATATTGTACTTTGAGCAATATCAGGCGATAAAGATGCAGAGATCCATATGAAAAAACAATGTTATTGAATCTTTCCCGAGTGTCAAAAAGAAGGTCATCTTCCTAGAGTGCTTTGAGTTTGTCTTTGATAAATTTGATCATGTTCTTGTTCAAGAAAGCTCATTTCATCAAATAACTCCAAGCTTCGTAGTTGTTTTCTGATAAAGGTGGAGAAAGAAGAATTGCACCAGGGTTTTTAGTAGGATGGAGATAATAGGGGTTTGATTGATCAAGAGCCAGATTCTTGTTTTGTGGATTGTTGTGATTCTAATTGTTAGATTTGTTATTGTTGGTGTTATTGTTTCTCTTTTGTGTTGTGGATGAATTTTCATGATCATGAACATTCATTGTTGTAGATGTGGATGAAGCTCAATAAAAAAGTATCGAATGAAAAAGATGAATCTTCTATTTGCTCACACTACTGATATCATAATATGAATTGAAGAGAGTATTGAAACTAAACATATTAAGTTTGATCCTTCCTTTATTGATTCAAACTATATATAACAAGGAGTTAGAATAACTGTCATAACTGCAAAACAAAACAATTATAAACAGAAAAATGAAAATAATTTAATATAGATAGAAGAATATAAATGGCTTAACAACATAGCGCATATTATTAGAGGAAACTAGTAGTGATGGGTGTCTAAGGAGAAATTGCTTAATATTTTTTGTGTTGCTTTCATTTGCAATAAATATGGAAACAATTTCAGGAGCAGTAACAGACAATCTGAGCTGCAACTTACTGAGCAGTCCATGCTTTGGGAAGAAAATAAAATGCCCAACTCAGTGCCCTCTTAAATCACCCTCTAGGCTGCAATTTTGTTTTGCTCATTTGGAGGTTCAGTTTAAATTTTACGATCTGTCTTCGAAAGTTGAAGGTGTTCTTGGGAGGACTTATCAGCTGGATTTTGAAAATCCAGCGGCTAAGTTAGGTGTGGCAATGCCGGTGGTTGGGGTTGAAGATAGATATAGTACTACATCACTTCTTTCTGCTGATTGTGGTCCTTGTTTATTTGTTCCTGGTGATAATTCCAAAAACAACAACAATGTGATTGTACAAGTGTTGCCTACAGTGGGAATGGTATAGTTTGCAAAAAGATAAATGTTTTGTTTATTGATGTTGTTTGTGATAATATTATTGTTTTCTGTCTTGTGTTGTATAAAAAGACTAGTGTTTTTCATGGATTTACCTTGAATAAAAAGTTCAATGTTTTATTTGTTTAGCTACTGTGAAAAGCTTTAACATCTTGATTTTAATGATCAGGAGAACTATTACAAATTATATAAAATCTTTCTTCATTTAAATTTCTAATTTTTTTTCTTGTCGCATGTAACACACCAATAAATGTATATTCAGTTATAGGATAAATGAATACAAAAACTTTGGATAAATGCATATTCTTCTTCTTTTTCATTTTCTGGATATCATAGGATTAATGTATATTCAGTTAAATATAAATTTCCTATCAATATACTGAAAAATGAGCTATTGAATGAATACAAAAACTTTGGAGTGAGGAAAAAAGCCTCATAAATTTGAGGAGTCCCAGCTAGCATAAACAGCATCAATCAATTTTTCATGCAATGTGACACCAGAGCATGCAATTATGCCACGGTCAAGACCTTCTAAGTATGTTCCCTTTGAAAAGTCCAGAGGGCGGCCTCCAGCATCGGTCACCACACCACCGGCCTCTTCAACAATCACAACACCGGCAGCATGATCCCATATCTTCTCCTTGTAACCAGACTTTGCAAATTTCATGAATATCTCGGCATCTCCCCTTGCTATTGCTGCATACTTTACCATGCTGTGGACGCGTAAGGGCTGTTTTCTGTATCAGATTTTGAGAGAGTAGAGCATTTCAATCCCAAAGATAGTGTTAAAAGAAGAGAGAAATATAGTAACAAGTATCCCCAACTCCCCAAACATGATTCATGTAGTAACAATTATGACAGAGGATATGAAACACAGGTTGCAAATAATACATTTTCAAAAACAATGAAAACAGTGTTTTGAGGATATGAAACACAGGTTGCAAATAATGCATTTTCAAAAACAATGAAAATAGCGTTTTGACAATTTTTAAATTTTCAGGAAATGCTAGATTTGTTTGCAAAAATTGTAAAAGAAAATGGTGAAAATGAAAACATGAAAAGTTGAAAGTAAACAGGCCCTAAGGTGTTTGGTCTATAAATCCTTTCTTTCATAGGTTCCTTTCTAGGAAATGGTTTGAATCAGAATATCAATATAGTAACTTATTCTCATAGTCAGTTAAGAAATTCAGTTATAACTTTCCAATGTTTGGGGTGAGAAATTAAATAAACTAAAAATCAATTCCTATGTGTAGATATAGTTGTCTAAGATTTTTTATTTGAAGTTCCTTATACTTCCCTTTGGAAGTACAACGAATTAAAATTTAGGATACGCTTGGGTACCATCTTAAAATTTCGGTTTGACCTAACTTAACCATACGAAACCAACTTGTAAGGTGAGAGATGACTCTCACTTATTAACACATTTTAAGGTCATATCTAATGTGGGACTCTCAACATATATGGTTGCCCAATTTCTAGCTGTTACCTAGTCTAGAAATGATTTCTGTCATGACACTTTAATCTTTAAACACAATACTGTTTAAATGCAGTCTGTATTGCTATTTATATGGATGTAATTTCAGCCAATCAAATGTGTGAAATAAGTCAAGATGCAGAACATTTGAAAGAAAAATTGACGAGTATTATACCTAAGTCCCACACTGTGAGCAAGGCCAGCCGTGAAGGAATGATTTGAGTTTGCCCTTTCCACTGGTTCACAGAGAGTTGCCAATGCTGGATCATCAACTGAAGAAACTCGAATACGTCTCGCACAGTTTGGCCATTCTAGCGTCTTATCTGCAGGAATCAACGACTGCAGCCACGCCTCACCACTGCCTCTCTTAGCATACAACACACATCCTTTTCCCCACGCATCGGTCGTTGTTGGAGATGATTGTGGTGTTGTTTCATGATACTGGTAGTGATAACTTAGCCATTCTGTCTTCACTGGGTAATTGGGGCACCCAAGAACTCCAAGAACAACTTTTCCATTCTCAATAAAAGCTAGAGCAACTGCATACTGATCACCACGTACAAATCCTAATGTGCCGTCAACAGGGTCAAGTACCCAATGCCTTCCACTGGGGCCTCCTGTTGAGCTGCAGCGGCCAATGGCCTCAAGAACTTCTGATGTCCCAAGAGTTGTCTCTGGACTTTGAAGACCATACATGGCTACAAAAGATAAAGACTCATTGACGGTATCCACAACAGCTTCCAGTAAGGCTGTTGAATTGTCCTTGGAGAAAATTTCTACGTCTTCTTCCGCAACAATTGACACATTTTGAACCCCGAATGTTTTTGCTAGTAACCAACTAGTGATTGCTTGAACACTCAAGTCTTCTCATGCAGAGATATCAAACAAAATAACTAGTCAAATAACTTCAAACATTACTATCACTAAAAACAAAAATATTAAGTACCATAAAAACAAGGTTAAGGGACAAAAGTAATATCTCTCCATTTCCGATATTAAAATTATTGTTTCAGTGGTATATGAATATAAACAAGCTAGTTTGGTCTGAGTGCAAAATTGTGAAATCTAATAATGTGTACAGTGGAAAGAAAAAGAGAAAAATGGTGTTAGCTCTAGTTCGTAGAAGCAAAAATGGGATGGAAATGGAGCTTGGATCTTTGGACTGTCACTAAATAACAAAAATAAAAAAATGTATCCATCTTTATGAAGTTTCAGAAAAAAATGTAAAGAAAACTAAGGATAATGACAACTTGAAAATGACAAGTTGACATTCAAACATTCATAAGCCGTATACTCAATAAAAGTGAAATTATAAAAACTCTACAAGGTGATCTAGCCAACTTCATATCGACCTAAAAGAGAGAACAAATTATTGAAAGTCTATAAAAGCACTGTAAACATGATTTAGAAAATAATAATGGATTGCCAAAAAGAGACACTATTACCATAAATGCGACACCGAGAGAAGTAAGTAAAGATACGGCAAGACTACCACACCCCCAAAGAAAATAAAACCATTGTCATCTTAATAATTTTCCTTTGCAAAATTAACATACCAAATTCTAACAGTAAAATGAATTCTCAAACATTTCCTATGTTATTGGTACATTGATTGCACCAGTACAACTATTCGTGATAGTTTATGAACTGCAATACCCAAATCCTTTTCATATCAAGTAGGGCCTGCTAATCGAATGTAGTCATCCTAATGTCTCATCATGAATCATGTCTAACAATAAACTGTTTAAATAAAAAATAATACTCAATGGTTTGGTTTATAGAATATCCTCTATTTTGTCAATCATATTCATCCCCACTGGTGTGTATAAGTCTTCTCCACAACGTGACCTTCCATATTTTCTACTACAAGTGTTAACTTGACTTTCGCTTTGTAATGCTTTCATTCATCATTCTACCTAGTGTAATCACCCCCTTCTCTAGGAAGTATTTGGTGTATTTTCTTGATGCCTCTTTACCATATAACAATTAATCCTATACAATATTGTAGATCTTATAGTTGTGCAGTAATTTTTTTTATACCTTTCTATCTCAAATTACACAAGAAAGTATACTTCCTCTTCTATCTGATATACTTAAACCAAATGACAGTTTTTGTACTGTAATATAAAAATTCAGTACTTCAAGAGGCCAACCATCTATACACATTCAGCTACTGGTTGAACAACTTCTACAATTAATTGCATCATGAATTCAATGTTTTGTACCAGCATATAGACTAGGTGCATGCTTTTATTACGGTCAAGGAAATCTAATCCCGGAATGCAAGAATTGCATCATACAAACTAGGTTCAAGATTATATTAGATGTATAAAACTTTAACATCATTTTGATTTTAAGCCACCATTGCACAATCACAGATGAATAACTTGTGCGATCACCTGCAAATATGCTACATTTATGTCTCAAGCAAATGAAGTCACAGGCTAAAAATCATCTTATGAAACCCATTCATATACATTTACCTAATAGCATAAGCTTTTAAGACTATTATTTGTTGACGCAGTATCATAACCTCTACAATGAAGTAGTCGGGAGTTTGACTCTTTCCACCCTAATTGTTTTAAACAAAAGTTGATTTTGAGCACAAGGAAATGTGAGACAATGCACTGATCTCTCTTCAAGCCGAAAGGGATCTTGTGTGAAGGGATGTGTTAAGCATAAAACCATTGTGATCCTTCCCCTAATAGCTTAAGCTGGAGCGGCGCAGCTATATAAGGTTCACAAACACTTTGAGGTAAAGGAATGAATTCTCCAGTTCCAATAAACATTTTACTCTCATCTAACAAATTATAGTTCCTAACCATGTCATATGAGCATCTACATAGTTTTATAGGATTAGGCCAAACCATACATGCTATGCAAAAAATTGACAATTTTTTTTGCATTGCATATGTCTTAATGTAGATTTGATACTTTTGGCATACACATAATACATGCATGCAATACAATTATGATGACAGCATTGACGATAGATGGAGAAGTTTCATTATGATTTAAATGTCAAACCAATCTATAATATTATGAAACACCATAAATGTATCAGTGTCAGATAATATACCTAAGATTTAACCTAACAATACTGTCCAATCATAGCTCCAGCATACCCATATTCAGACTTCAGCTGAATTACGCACTACTAAGTTACTAATGATTTTAGTTTCACTAAGGACCATAATACTTCACTAGACTCATTTCAAAAGTGACCCATCATAATAAATGTTTATAATTAATGTTGAAATTAAACCCAAGACTTTGAGTAATTCCGAATCAATATTGATGAACAAAATTCAATCAACCGATCGAATTTCCTCTTGTTCTTCACTCTTCCCTCGAGTGAATCAACCAACCTTGATTGCAAGATGATTATCTCTACACAATGACAATGAAAGGAGAAGAAAAATTGAATTGAGGAAGAAATATTAGGGTTTTAGAGAAAAATAAGAGAAGAGATCTTCTGCAGAGCTTCTCTCTGCTTCCAAACTTGGAATTTTATTCTTTGCAACTACAAGTATTCAAGTGTTTACAATAATAGGGATTACTCCCTTTATATAGATTTTGGGCTTGTTTGCTCCTCAAGCAAGGCCCAAAAGTAACCTAACTAACTCAGCTAAACAAACAAATAAAGTTAAGTCTAACATCATTGTCGAGATACTTTTCGACATTTTGACATAAGAAATTATAATTCAACCGTTAAACTATTCCAATATAGAGATTTTAGGCAAAAACACATGATGGATTCCGATAGGGATTGACGTATTATGGGATGCCCAAGTCCCACATTGAATAGTATGAGATGCTACTAAGAGTAGTGTGGTTCCTCCCTCTTGATACATAGATTTTAAGGGAGGATTCCTTGACAGCTTGGATACTTATAAGATTTCATATTCCATCTCTAATAAGTCCCTCCAACCATTTGAAAAGCACAAGAAATTGCATATAACTTATAAGACATAACAAATATTCTAAAGTGATTCTTAAAACTTACTGAAACTGAATTTTGCAGTCAAATTTATTATTTAACTCATTTAACATGAACAAATCAACCATCTTAAACTCATTTTTAACTAAAAACAGTTTTACAAAATTAAAATCAATTATCTAGGTTGGAAAACCAAATGCACAAATTTTCCAATAGCATAGAATGCAGAATTTCTCACAGACCAGAACGTAGAAACAAAAAATAAAGATTAAGATTTTGAATTTAAATACCTGCAACAGTAACAGGAGAATCATCGTCTTTGGACAGAACCTCTGTCGTAAGGAGTTTCTCCTGCACCCTCCCACAGAGAGCACATGCGACGTGGACAATCCTGACAGCTACCTCCAATTCGTTGGCGTAATTTTGATCCTCCATGTGGTCGAAAACAACTCAAAATATTTCCCCAAGTTACAGAACGATGTTTGGTTTTGCAAGCGACATTGGTAACATTTGCCGAAGATAAATGAAAAGAATGCGAGAGTGAGAGAGACGAAAAGATTACAGTACGAAAGTATTGCGGTTTCAGTTTCACACCAAAAAAAACGCTTCTTTCTACAGACTTTTACATTACAGTTATGCAATTTGATGTTTGCTTCTATAGAGCCGTCACGCTTTCACCACGTCAGCAATTCGCATTTTAGTATTCACTCACCCTAACTCAGATTATGAATTAAGGACGCCCCCACATAACACTCACATTCTTAATTAATAGTATTTCTATTCTAAATTATAAATCATTTTGTAGTTATTTTACATTCTCAATAAAATTTTTTTAATATATTTTCAATTATTTATTATTATTTATTCTTTTAATTTTTCTCCCTATATAATTTATGAGAGATATTATTATAAAATTATATGTAATTTATCTTTTTTTTATAAAATAATAATTAATTTTTTAATTCGGTGAAATATCTAAAACGTCTTATAATTTGATACGAATAATACTATTATCTTTTATTTTATAATAATATTTTAAATTATGCTTTCAATTAATTTTATAATTTATTTTAAAAGTAATGCTACTTAAATACTACTACATGGGATGATACTGTGAGATTCAAAATATTAAAAAAAATGAAAGACAAATGTGCCTAGACGACGATGAGGGTACGATTTAGGGTTGTGATGAATAACCATTTAATATGAATCAATCAACTTTTTATGGTTTATAAACCTATTCATTTTTATGTTATGGTTTATAAAACAAACCACTTGTTCTGAACCGGTTTTAAATAGATTTTAATTTAATATAAATTATTTAGTTAAATTTTAATTTTATTTCTTTTAAATTATATCAATTCTTAAATTTAAATACTTAAACAAATTTAATAAGATTTTAAAATATTTTTTCTTTGAAAATAAAAAAAATATTTTAAAAAACAATTGATTTATATTAAGTAAAAATTGAATCGATATTGTAGTTATAATTATTGTGTTGATTACCGTTATGTAATTGTGGTAATAGAATTAATTCAATCAGCATAAGACTTTTCTGGTTATGCGTGAATTCTCACCGATTTTAATAGTCATTATGCAGAATAAGCTACAAATAATTTATAGTAATTGGTTGGTACTCGCTATCTTTAAGTTCACCTTCGGTTGACAATCACTTTATTCTGTATCTCCCCACAGTTTGTAAATTGTTGGGTTCTCTTTGTATTTAATCACCTTCTACCTTAAATGATTGAAAGTGATTGCTTTTCATACCTTCGGGTCCAAGTCGATTGAATAGGGACAGTTGTAGCACCTCAAAATTTGTCCTCACCTTTTTCTAACCTTAACTGGCTTTTATTTCGCATTCATCTGCATCATCACCTAGGTCATAATTCATAATCATGTTTTTCATGGTCTTCTAAGACATGGGATTACGACGTTTCTTTAAATAAGGGTTCATATTTTCTTTAAGGTACTTTCATTCAAGACTGAGACAAGGTTTGAGCTCATAGAATCATTGAGTATATCTCTATCAAAGTTCATTAAGTATCAAAGCTTCCTTTTTGTCAAGATCATCAAGCATCAAGATTTCTCAAGAGTATCAGGTGCTATGGATTAGGGTTTTATTTGATTTATTACATCTCAGTCTGCTCTCTTCATCGGGGTATATTTCAAGGAGATCAGGGTTTCTTATTCATGGGTGAGTTTGTGGACAATCGTCAAGTGAAGATCATGAGATTAGAGTTTCGTGTCAAGAAGATCAGTGGTCATCAGGATAAAGCATTTGTAGATTGATTTGAAGGGCTTTGGGTCATGATGAATTGAGCTTAATGATTGAATTTTTGGGATTCATTGAGGATAAGATTTTGGTGTGGATTGTGATTTTGATTGGAATTAGAGATACAAACCATTTTTAGCTACATTTTCAAATCCATTTTAATCCAATTAAACCACTTTCTATGCCATGTCCATTTTTAACCATTTTTTAGGTTCAACATCCACATTCATTTTCCAAGTCCAATTGCATATTCATTTCTATGTCATTATCCAAATCACTTTCTTTTATTCAAATCCTTTTTTTTTTCAATAATCATTTTAACCATTTTTGAAATCCACTTTTAGATCTTTTTCAAGTCATTAAAATAAGCCCATTTAAACACAATCCATGACCATATCTCAAAGTTCAAAACATTTCCAAATTCTAATATTTCACTTGGATACAAGTAAGGGATACAAGTAAGATAGAAAAGAAAAATGCTAGGACTCGTTTAAGTTTTTTGAGTTGGATTTGGATGATATATCTCTTACTCCAGTTAGCCATTCAAATGATGTTGATAGAGGCTCAAGATTTTTACTCATGGATCCATGTCCTTCAGAAGTCCTAGATCATTTTATTCAAAGTCTAGATTTTTACTCACTGTCCAACCAGGTGAGGGGGACTACTTTACAAGGGAAAAAGGCTTTTTCAGAGACTGAATTTTGTGTTGCAAATAATGACAATGACGATGAAAATAATGTTTCAATAGTTTCTAAGAGAAAAAAAGTCACTGCTAGTAACCCAAATTTAACTCAAATTACAAACTGAATTTATTGATTCAATTGTAACTAGCTACATCATAAAGTTTCATCGTAGTGAAAACAAAACCGTAACCCAGGACCCACACTACCTTCATCCAATTTCCTACTCACCACCTTTCCATCTACGCACAAATTTTGTACCAAGTCGCAGCAGGCCATACCATGCGGTACCATGTAACACCCTTCTAAACCCCACGGATAATATATGAATAATTAGAGTAAATTTTCATGCATTTACAAAAGGGCATTACACATAACTTTCAAAATATCAAAACCACCTGTCATGCTCATTACTATTTCAATATAAAATTATGCTTTACAAAACTTCACTTTGCATGTATATATATATATATATATATATATATATATATATATATATATATATATATATATATATATATATATATATATATATATATATATATATATATATATATATATATATATATATATATATATATATATATATATATATATATATATATATATATATATATATATATATATATATATATATATATATATATATATATATATATATATATATATATATATATATATATATATATATATATATATATATATATATATATATATATATATATATATATATATATATATATATATATATATATATATATATATATATATATATATACACAAATATGGTCAATCATCAAACATATCCATAGTTCACAATTACACAAGTCATGTACATACACCTATGCATAACTTCATACAACAATCATATATTCATTCCATGAGACTCAATGCAACTCATGCCATGTGGTACCAACACTTGTTATCATTTTTCGGTTTTTACACTTAAACCGGGTCCGTTCCCTAGACCGATAACAACAAAAGCCCGTTCCCTAAGCTTTCAAACCCCCGCTCTAGGTTTGGGACAAGTCACTAGCCTCCACGAAACTAGCAAACATTGCCTCTTGACTAAATGATGCATATGCAATCAACAACAAAATGCACTTAAGACCGATCACACGTCTTAATCCCATGCATTCACATAATTCCTCCCTTCAAGAATTAAACAAGATTGCACACACAACATATCATACTTTTTCATCAACATATTTGTCAAACAATGCACGCATATCTTACAATATGCTCTCATGCATTAATTCACAATAATCGGATACAACAAATATGCATTCATAATTCAACCTCATTACCTTTTCAAACAATGCACACATATTCACAATATGTTCTCATGCATTCACAATATCGCATACAATCAATATGCATTTACACTTCAATATCATTACCACATTTATCAAGCAATGCACACATATTCACTATATGGTCTCATGCATTCTTCATATACAGACAATATGCATATATTTGTCAAAAGACTATATTTCATAATCGATTCCACCATCTAGGATTCACGCCATACGGCTACCCACAGCATATCATATCACAACATGCACAAGTTATACGTTCTATAACAAAAGTATTCTGCACAATAACACATCAATCACACACATTCGCGACGGTAAAAATCAACACAACAATATGTTTTCAATTTTCTGCTATAATTGAACTAGGTACAGGCCTCAAAGCCATTTTTTCTAGAAATATAATCTCGTTAACTTACCAACACTTCGAACAGGGTCAAAACCGACTTACGATTCAAGAGTTATGAATTTTCGAAGTTTTCTGAAAAACCATAATTTTGCCTAAACACGGCTACGGGATTTTGCATTTTCGCCCGAAAATCCGACCGATTCAATTCTTTTTTTCGAAACAAACACATACTCATACTCACCTAACATATAGCAGTGAATTAGAACCATTAAACACGATTTCTACGACGTCCGATTTTCACTCAAATCTCAAACCCTCAATTATCCAAAAATGTCAAAACTCACAAACTCAACCAAGTTCAATCAAACGAAATCCAATAATCACGGCTAAACATTACTCGACTAAACTATGCAATTTATTTTGAATTCTAACCGTTCAAAACTCGATTCTATCGATTTAACTCATTTGCCCTAGAAATGGAAAATAGAGAAAAACACCCAACAAATCCAACACAACTCATACATAATCATACACATTGATCAAATAATAATGTTTCTCACCCTTATCTTGATTGGATTGAAGCTTGAAGTTGATTCTTGATGATTTCTCCAAGTTTCCCTCTTCTCTTCTCTTTTCTCCTCTTTCTCTATTCTTTCCCTCCTTTTCTTTCTTTCTTTCTCTTATGTTTCTATCTCTTTTCTTTTCTCTCCAATTTCCCTTATATATCCTTCTATTTTCTTTCCATCATAATTCTTCTCTAAAAAATACCTATCAATTCATTTCTCACAAAATATCTCATCTTATCATTAATTAGATAA